AGCAATGATGTGTTGTATCAGCTAGAGCCTAAATTGTAGCCTGATCTAGTATGATGTCTGTAATTTCTTTTTCATTTTAACTTTTGAAAGATTTTCATTCACTAAATAAATAGTCAAGATAAGGAACAGTATTATCTGGGCCATAGATTGCTATTAGGAGTAAGTCTAAATCTACATAAATATACAGCTTTACAGTATCAGGTGATTTTGTAACTTTACAGTTTATTACATTTCAAAAACTTAATATAGTGGTTATGGAATGAAATATTTCTACCATATAAGTAAACATATAATACAGTTGTTTTAGCAGGAACATTAAGGAACCATATTCATCTATTCTGGCAGATCCTGCTTCCAATTTAAAATCCTTCCCAAGGCAGCAACTCCCCACCCCCATCCAACCCTGCTGCCTCCTCCAGTGTGTAATATAGGAGCTCAGCATGCTGGAAAGAGAGGTGCTAATACCAAAGTTATTCTGAAAAACAAAATTCATGGAATGTATTCATATAAAACTTTTCGCAAAGAGGGAATCATACAGGAATTGACAGTTCTGTCATCAAATCAACATGACTCTTTCAAACAGTTGCTCAAATTTTGGACAAAACAATGAAGGCGTGACAGAGAAATCACACTTCATTGTTGCTCAGATTTTTGTTTTTGAGTGTTTGTGTGTGTTTGTGTTTGTGTGTGTGTGTGTGTGTGTGATGCTCTCACCTTTAAATGACCGCTTTGCTAATTTCCACTTGTTGGATTATTCATATTTCAATTCCTATCCTTACTCTATATGATTTCCACCATTCCTTTCACAACATGTTATATATTATTCTAATATTCTGCTTAAAGAAAACGCATATTCAGTTCTATTAAGTTTTATTTAGTTATTATCTCTCATTACATAATAAGTGAATGTTTGAAAAAATTTGTTATGGAAGGTGAGACTAAAGGGCCTTTCCTGCTCATTTCCTGCTCATTTACAGATATGACAAAGGTGCAGAATTTGGCCTATTATAATTATGCAAGCAAAATAATAAATCCACTTTAATCAATCTCATTTAAACTGTAAAAACATGAGCCAAATAATTTTGAATTTACTGCTAAGGTATATGTAATAGACATGGGAAAAGAAATGCCACTTTTATCTTTATTTATTTATAATAAATATATATTTAATATACTTTTATAAAATCAATTATATAATAAAATGTAATATTATAAAATCAATTATATATATTTTTTTGTTCAAAGTGACAAACATTCAACACAACTCCCCTCCTCCTATTTTGCTCACAACAACAACCCTGGTGAGAGAGAATGACTTGCCCAAAATCACCCAGCTGGCTTTTATGGCTAAGGCAGGACTTGAACTCATGGTCTTTCAACTTTCAGCGAAAACACCTGTTTAGATAAAACATGGCGTCTCATTTGTAGAACAATCAATATTCACCTTTCTGTGTTAAATTTTATACTCAAATTAAAACATATATCTCCATGCTGCACTTTTAAAAATCATGCAAAGCATCCCTGCAGTTATGGCAAATTTTCCATAAGATTGTTTACTGTGTAGTTTATTGAGTCTTTAAATAGCCCAAGGATTTTTTCCCCTGAGCCACGGAATACAGAAATTCAACATTTAGATATCACTATTAATAAAAGGTAACCTATGTGGATCTTCTGGGAGAGAGCTTTTCTCTAGGGATTTGCACTGTGTCCTATAAATTCTAAAATACTTTATTTGAGAAGCAGATAAATTCAGCTTACTCAAGCAAAGAGGAAATAAGTTCTTGCTCCCAGTTTGAAAATTATGGAAAGACAACAGAGATGACTACTACACACTGTATTTCAGATATGATCACCCTGCAACCTCTGAATTATTTTTTTTGCATTTGTCAGAGCCCATCATCTTGTACTATGTGATGACAGAATTTTGGAGCCCAATTTCCAGCCATTTCATACTGAGAACATAGAATATCTGAAAAGAAATCTAAAAGATTTAACATATCTCTCAATTAAAAGGTAAAGGTTTCCCCTGTCCAGTCATATCTGACTCTAGGGAGCGGTGCTCATCTCCGTCTCTTAACTGAGGAAGCCACTGTTTTCTTAAAACCCTTTCTGTGGTCATGTGGCCAGCATTTACTGAGATGCATGGAACACTGTTATCTTCCCACCAAAGTGGTACCTATTTATCTATTCACAGTTGCATGCTTTCAAACAAACAAACAAAACCCTAAAAGATTGAACATATCTCTCAATTATTCCCTTTCCTGACTTTCAAAGCTTTACCTCCAAACCAACATTTTTTTAATGATCAGCTTCAATAGGAAGCATGTATTTGGAGTGCACTATTTGGAATGCATAGAAAAATAGATAGGACAATGTAAGATATCAAAGATTTAATATTTAACTCCAAAGCAGGGGACCAAGTCAGTAAGAAATATTAGGAGCAGTGTTTCAGCCATATCTGGGGGACAACAGAATTCCATTCGTGTTTGATACGAAAAATTATGCAATGGTAATTGGGCACAGCAAGTTTTGCTTTCTTATCAATACGAGTTAACTTGAGTCTGGGCAAGTTGCCAACAAATGCAATTTGCATTAAGATATTGGGAAGCCAAGCAATGCAAAGCAATGGTCCCATTGCAGATTAATTTTTAATCTGTTAGTTAGCTTTTGTGTCAATTAAATAACAATTGGGTTAATGAAGATAGTTAGCCAAAGTAATTTGTTGAAATAAATATTTTATTATAATGGCCATCAATCAAGGTAAGAAAATACTGTAATAATTCTCTTGCTGTTAAAAGCTACTACGGTAGTCCATTAATATATATTTAAAGATCACTCCATTTTCAGAGTTTTACATTTGCTATTGAATAGGAAGGATATTTTCAGTCATTCATCTAATTGTTGATAGGTTTTCTTTATTTAAATTGCATCCACCAATTTAACTTTTTTAAACAATTTCTTTTGTATTCTTTAAAAAAATACATTTGATTTAATATAATTTCATGATATATGTATTATTCATATTTGAAGAAGTTATATTGGACATACAAGACCAGTTATTTAAAACCTTAATCAATGTTGATGTCGGCCAACATATTTAAAGATTATCCTAGATTTCTACATGGTAGACCAAAGAGCTACTATCAATTGTGGGAAGTGACTGAAAATTACGTTAGTTTAAATGCTGACCACACTACCAACTACTACTATGCTTCAGCAGTGAAGCAGAGAAGGGGTTTTTTTTGTATGGAAAGTGAGATGCACATACTTGTGTGGACAGCTGGGTTATAGTCTGAGGCCATGTGAAACAGCAGAAGGCTAACTGCCACTTCTGGATCAAGTTTAAGACATACCTTGTATGAGCGCCACATTGCTTTTTAGAAGATTATTTCTTTTTAGCTCTAATTTAGTACTTTTGGTTTTTAAAAAATAAGTTATTTTCACTTCTTCTGGTGAAAGAAATCTGTGAGTAGAAGTGCTCTTTGGGGCCAAGAGGTTATTTTTGTAAGGCTCTACTGTACTTCCGTTCCTTTCCAGAGCCCCACTCCAAGCACCCATAGATGGCAAAAGAAGTTGGGGGGGGGGGCAGAGTTTTCCTTTCAACTTTATGATCCTACAGAATAGTCATTCTAGAACCAAACGAGGCATTTTGCTCCCATGTCCTGCTCTTCCTGTCACCCATGGATGAAGAAATCTTTCTTCCCCCTTATTCCCCACTACTTCTCTTGACATGGGAGAGAAGACGGACACAGGTTTTATGGTCTCAGTTCTCTCATCTCCCATATAATCACTCTATAGGATCAGAGACCTGGCAGGGAAGGAGCCATTCTTTCTGCATGACTGAAGGGAGGAGAAGAGGCGCCAATTCTCTCCACACCAAAAAGACTTGTTTTCCTCTCCAGAGAACTGGGTGGAATGCCATTTCCCTCATTTCTTAACTGTCTCTGCTTTCACAGCAAGGGACTTCGGCTGAACTACAAACACTCCTGCCAAATGCATTTTAAGCCATTCTGTTAGGAATGTAAATCACCTAATAGTTGGGTTGGAAAATATATAAACCAGGATAGACATTTTAATACTGTTTCTTTAAGAGAATGCTAAAACTGTAATTGGGTGTGGTTCCTCAAATGGCCATAAGATGGAGCCAGAAACCTAGGTTGTTTTAGTTCCTGTTCTGTTGTTCTGGAGAGTGTTGCCATTCCTATTGACTATTGATTGTTTGCTGATCACAGTTCTTCTTAGGTTTGATGTAAGTCTGTTACTGAACTGTTTTTGATACTGGACTTTGTTATTGGATTATCCCTGGACTGAAAACTGACTGCTTTAACTGTGAATGACTTGGACTGCTTGTTTGAACTTTACTTAACCATTTTACTGGAAGTAAAAACCTACATTTTACTATATAGTGTAGCTGTGTGCTGTGTGTGTGTGTTATTCTACACTACTCTCACTACGTCTCCCTGTGTGCGCTCATTCTCCTAACGGGGAATTACCTCAACACATTACCATTTGATGAAGCTGGCTGTGGATTCGCTGTGTCACTGCCAGCTGTAGTAGCTCACCACTGTAGGTCAGAGTTGCACAATTGGAATATAGCTACAGAAAAGGTCTAACCCATCTAAATTCTGTAAGCAGTAGCATCTATAAAGAAAACTTACAATGCAATTATATATTCTGAATGGATTTATATGGGGGGTGGGATTTTCAACTACTCTGATCCCAAAATCTTAATTTCACTGGAATTTTAGTTTGCATTATCATGAATTTGTAACCAAAATTGAATATTTAAAGCTGATGATGACTCTTGAAAGTTTCTACAGTTCCAAAAAACTCAAAGGGCAGACTCAATGGACCACTGGGTCTTTTTCTGCCATCAATGTTATATGTTTTTACTTAGTTTGCATATATACTACATTTCTGAACTAGATGTAGTTTGGCACAAACATTTGGACATTTATAGGATGAAGTAACAGTTTTTCCATTTCTTTTTTCTCTCATAGTTGATTGGCTTTGTTTACGCCTGTTATGTGATTAGTGTTTTTATGGAAGAAGAGGACAGCAGTAAATACTGATATACACCTCCCGATCTCTGGAGCCACAACTTTGGGGTGAGACATGATATTGCTCTCATAGAAATTTTTGGAAATGGAAAGGTATATTTGGGGGGAAAAAGAACAACATTCTTTTCTTGAACACAAGTAGCTTTCTTTTAATTCTGCCCTTATAATATGGCCAATACACATCAGTAAGATTAAGTATTTTCATTGCTTTTATTTGTTGTTCTTCTAATTCATGCTATACTAATATTAATCAATTTTATTTTTAATTGTATGTGATTTACAGTATTGTATTACATTATGTTATTTCCTATAAAAGCTTCCTTAAAGCTTTTATATACATTCTAAAACGTACTTTAGAACAGGGGTCCCCAACCCCCAGGACATAGACTAGTACTGGTCCATAGACTCTTAAGAATTGGCCGCACAGCTGGAGATGAGTGGCAGGCAAGCTAGTGAAACCAAAACCATCCCACTCCCCAGTCTGTAGAAAAATTGTCTTCCATGAAAAAAGTCCCTGGTGCCAAAAAGTTTGGGGACCATTGCTTTAAAATACAATAACACATAAAATGTAATATAATAATTCACAGCAGTTTATAATCTCTGGTTACTGTTAGTATTAGGCATGGAAGCTTGATTAGCAATTCTACTTTTACTGCAGCAGTAATTTCTGAAATATAATTTAATTTGGTATACGTATCAAAGCTATTGTGCAGTTGCTCTCTATGTTCCTGTTCAATTTGAGCTGCATTTTATTGGTTCTGAAAAGATGAGATGTCTGACAGATGATGCCAAGTTCTTTTAAAAGAGACATAAATAATTTGGATAGATAATTTCCTTCTAATGGTACTAGTTCCTTCTGTTCTGTTTTGCTCTTATTTTACAATTCAGCCTGATTCTTGAAAAATAATATTATTTTCTAACATTCTTCATAATTCGTTAACTTCTACATTGTTAATGTCTACAACTTCAAACAGATATGTGTGTATTCATGTGTACAGTGCACACAAACACACAAAATTTTGCTTTGGAAACCATGAACGTTTTATATAAAACCTTTGTTTAATTTATCCTAAAGTAAACCCGCAGTTATTGGCCTTTAATATTTCATGAAGAGAAATATACTTGCCTAATTTTCAGCATCTTGGATTAAATCTGCCAGGAAGGCTTAAAATGTAATAACCGTCACTTCTTCTGTAAGATTTAAGAAGGTATTGAGCAACCAATGGATATATTTCTAAGAGCAATAAACATATAAAGAAATGTTCTATCAAGCCATTCTTTTCTGGCTTTGATGTCATGCTGCTATTGAAATGGGAACATACTGCATTTCTCCTTTTAGAGGCTTTCATGTACACAAGATTTTGTTTTTTTGAGAAGTAAGATTTTAGTGGGAAAGGGAAGAGGCTGTTGCCATACAATCCCAGGAAAAGACACAGCTGCTTCCATGAATTGCTGAAAGATACTATGTTTGCATTCACTTCACCCTAAATCAGCTTTTTGGAATAAAATCCAGAAACTTCAGACTGAAGTTTATTTATTTTATTTATTTATTTGATTTGCCAATTGTTTACAAGATAATAAGTATAAATGTATACATAGTTGTGAATACATGAAATGGGTACATATAAGAAAAATAAAAGAAGAATAAGAGAAACAATAGGACAGGGACGGTAGGCACGTTGGTGCGCTTATGCACGCCCCCTACAGACCTCTTAGGAAAGGGGTGAGGTCAATAGTAGACAGTCTAAGGTTAAAGTTTTTGGGGTTTGGGGAAGAAACTACAGAGTCGGGTAGAGTATTCCAGACATTGACCACTCTATTGCTGAAGTCGTATTTCCTGCAATCAAGTTTGGTGCGGTTTACTTTGAGTTTGTATCTGTTGTGTGCTCTTGTGTTGTTATGGTTAAAGCTGAAGTATTCATTGACAGGTAGGACATTGCAATGTATGATTTTATATACCATGCTTAAGTCGGACCGAAGACGACGTAATTCAAGGTTTTCTAGTTTTAGAATTTAGAGTCTGGTAGCATAAGGTATTCTACAACGGGTAGAAGAGTGGAGAACTCTTCTTGTGAAATACTTCTGGACTTTCTCAATTGTGTTAATATCACATACGTAATAAGGATTCCAGACTGATGAACTGTATTCGAGTATTGGTCTAGCAAATGTTTTGTATGCTCTGGTTAGTAGTGAGATATTACCAGAGAAAAAGCAACGTAGGATTAGGTTAACAACTCTTAATGCCTTTTTGGCTATGTAGTTGCAGTGGGCTCTAGCACTTAGATCATTAGAGGTGAGTATTCCCAGGTCCTTTACAGAGCTTGGGTCATCAACAAGATCTTGACTATTCAGCTTGTATTTTATTTTCTGATTTTTTTTACCAATATGTAAGACAGAGCATTTATTTGTTGAGATTTGGAGTTGCCATATGTTAGACCATTCAGATACATAGTCTAGATCTTTTTGAAGGGTAGTAGTATTGTCTGTGGTATTGAACAGCTTTACATCATCAGCGAAGAGAACGCAATTGCTCTTGATATGATCACAAAGGTCGTTTATGTAGATTATGAAGAGAGTTGGTCCTAGAACACTGCCTTGGGGAACACCACTATTGACAGGTACTGGATTTGATAGGGCGTTCCCGATTTTGACCATTTGTTGTCTGTTTGACAGGAATGCTTCTATCCAGTTATTCAGTTGTCCAGAGATACCATAAGATTTTATTTTTAGGAGTAGTTTGTCTTGTACCACTGAATCAAAGGCTTTGCAGAAGTCTATGTAGATTGCGTCTATTGCTTTGCCCTGTTCGAGTTGTGTAGTCCATATGTTTTTGCAGTGTAAGAGTTGCAGATTACAGGATAGTTTTTTTCTGAAACCAAATTGTTTATTGGAGAGTAGGTTGTTTGTCTCTAAATGGAGGATGATGGATTGGTTAATAATTGATTCCATGACTTTACAGGTGACGCAACATAAGGAGATTGGTCTGTAATTTTCAACTAAGCTTGGGTCTCCCTTTTTGAAGATAGGGATGACTGTGGCTTGTAACCATAGGTTAGGCAAGGAGCTGGTCCTGAAAGATTTTTCAAAGATTATGCGTAGAGGTTTGGCTATGGCAGTGGATAGCTTTCTTAAGAAGTAGGCACATATTCCATCCGGTCCAATAGATAGAGATGGTTTTAGGTTGCGTAGTGCTTTTTCAACGTTGTCTACTGTAAAATCGATATGTATTAGATCATTGTTGTTATCTGTGGTACGGCTAGGAAACATTGGGCATGATCCATTACTGTTTACAAACACTGAGCCGAAGAATGTGTTAAAGATGTTGGCTTTAATGGTGTCGTCGCTGCAGTCTTTACCATCAGGTCCTATCAAGGGAGGGATGGACCTTGAGTCTTTTAGTTTGTTGTTTACAAAATTGTAAAAAGCACGGGTGGAATTGGTGCTTAGAAGGTTTTCCTCTTGTTTAATGTGATAATTGGTGCATTCGGTCTTTATCTGGTGGCATAAATTTTTGTATCGGTTTTTGAAATTAGCAACGTGACCAGATTTGTTTTTCCGCCAGAGTGATCTCTTTTTGGATTGAAGTTTCCTTATTGATATGGGTAATCTGCTTTTTTGTTTTGTTTTTGGAGTTGTTGTTGGAACATATAGTTTGATGACTCTTTTGACTTCAAGTAAAAAAATGTTGTAATTGTCTTCAACAGTATTGCATCCAGTGAATAGAGATTGCCAATCGAGGGATGAGAGATCGTTATCTATAAGATCATAGTTGCCTTTTTTGAAGTTACAATTAGGGATGACATCATTGTGGTGATTTTTGTGTGGACGTATGTTGAGGCAAAAGTCAATCATATTGTGGTCACTACTGGAAAAGGGTTCTTTGGTTTGTATTCCGTAAATTAAATTCAAACTATTGCAGAAGATGAGATCGAGGCAGTTGTTCAGTCTAGTGTTGTTGGTTACTAGTTGTTCAAGACCTAGATTTGTAATAGCATTGTAGAAGGTTGTGTGTATGATTTCAGTTGTACAATTATTTAGGGTCCAGTCGATATCTGGTTTTTCTTTTTCTTCTTCAGCTCTGACTGGATGGTGGGAATGAAAGGATTTATATTCTTTGCAGACAGTTGGTCATTTGTATTTTTTTAGCAAGTCACTAAGGTCACCTGGAGGATTATCTGTGTCATCAGGGTCACAGGAGTGATGCAAATGTGTGTGGAGCCTTCTTGGAACTGTTGAAAGGACTATGTTGTAGATTGGAGATAGATGCTGTCATATCTCTCCCTGTCTTATGAGAGAGGGCTGTTCAATTTTGACATAGATGGCCTCTTTGACCCCTCTTTCAAACTAGCAGTCCTTTCTGTTTAAAATGTAGAGTTTGCTGTCTTCAAAAGAGTAGCCTGGTTCTTTTAAATGCACATGGACTGCTGGATCTAGTCATGATGTGTTTGTTCTCTTGTGTTGTGCCATGCACTTATGAAGTGGTTGTTTTGTTTTCCCAATGTACAGATCTGCACATGGCTCAGTGTGTTGTACTGCATATACCACATTGCTCACTTTTTGTTTGGGTGTTTTATCTTTGGGGTGGACAAGCTTCTGTCTTAGTGTATTCTTGGATTTGAACTGTACATGTATGTTATGTTAGCTGAAGATCTTCTTGAGCTTTTCCGATATTCCTGCAACATATGAATGATCATATTGCTTTGTTTATTATTCTCTTTGTTATCTGTTATGGCGGAGCTCCTGTAGGGGTGTTTGTTGGTTTTTTTGGAGATTTGATGAAGGCCCACTTGCGATAGCTATATGTTCTGAGGGCTTCCTTGATGTGTTTTTATTCTTTTTCTTTCCCATCTTTGTTGGTAAGCAGGCCTTTAGCTTGGTGATGTAGGGTTCTGATGACTCCCATTTTGAGCTCCAGTGGGTGGTGGGAATCAAAATGTAAATATTGATCTATGTGAGTGGGTTTTTGTTAAACTTCAATATTAAGGCTTCTGTTTTCCTTAATGTGCACTGCA